CAGAGGTCTGTTGTCCCTTTCCCGATCTTATTTGACTTTATTTTATCCCTTTTATTTTATTGGGTTTCTGCACTACGCTCCCTTCAATTCACCTGGCGAATGTCCGCTCTCTAGCCAACAAAAGACTCCCTGCTCATTGTTCTTGGGGATTTCAACAGAGCTAACCATCTTCAAACAGTCACCTTCCCCCTCTGTCACTCTGGAGCCCAACAGGGACACCATCATAAAGAAGGCCCAGCAGAGGATGTAGGCTACTTCCTGCGCCAGCTCAGGAAGCTCAACCTGCCTAAGGAGCTGCTGATCCACTTTTACACAGCTATCATCCAGTCTGTCCTCTGCACCTGCATCACTGTCTGGTTTGGATCTGCCACCAAAAAGGACAGGGACAGACTACAATGGACAGTCAGGACAGCAGAAAAGATCATCGGTGCCAACCTGCCCTCCATTCAGGACTTATGCATTTCCAGAGTCAGGAAACGGGCACAAAACATCACTGCAGATCCATCTCACCCCGGACACAACCTGTTCCAACTCCTCCCCTCTGGTAGGCGCTACAGAGCACTGTACGCCAAAACCAACAGACTCAGGAACAGTTTCTTCCCACAAGCCATCACTCTGATGAACAGCTGATTTCTGACTCACAGTGTCAGGAACAATTCCTGTGCAATAACCCAGTAAGTCTGTCTCTAATCAGCCACCTGTTTACTGGCTAACACTTATTATTTATTTATTCACCATTCTCTATTTCAGTGCTTTTCATACTGTTATATTGTCACATTGTAGATACTGTATACCAATCCACCTACCTCAGGTCATTACTCCTGCACAAAATACTTATACTTATTTATTCCAGCATCATATGTGTAGGTATCTGTTAGATACCATAGAAGGGTTCAGTCCCTACATAAACACTAATCACTGCTCTCCCCTTGAAAGGTCACTAATCCTCTATCCAGCTGCTACAGTGTTATTTTAAACTGTTATGCCTCAAATGCAGATTTGTTATACATCACATATTCCCCCCTGCCAGACTTAATTGAGTCTCGAAAAAAAAAAAAAAGAGATCAATTTCTCCAACACATGCTTCTTGCAATATTATTTTTCACAATATATCAACTTTATGGATTGTGAGAACGAAAAACCTGTCCAGCAGCCTTCATTCCAAAATGCCCTCCAAGACAATCTAGACAGGAAAATTTTCTCACGGCCCCTCTGCCTCCAGTTCGATTAATAAAATACATCTTTATCAGTCAATGCAGAGATATGGTTTAGCCAATACATGTGAAAACCTCAGGAAATTAAATAAATCAAAACAATGTCCGAAATCAGGCTCGTCAACCCATCGGACCCTCCAACTGACCTTTCCCTGCCTAGACCCTATATCCCTAAGCATCAAGAAAAAGAAACAACCTGAGGTCCCCAAATATTAACTCCCCATAACTGAAAGTATAAGTCTTTACACAGTTAACACAAAAAGAATATGATAGTTAATTAAGTATTATTCATTCACATATGTATTCATATCTATATCAAAGCAGACATAGGAAGGTATTCCACTGCAGCTCCTCAGCAGTGTCCTCAGCAGTGTCGACTTCCAGTGTAGTGTCGATGCAATCCAGACGTTTCCACACCGTCCTTGTCCAGAGTTCATTCATATTGTCCTTGTTTGAGTATTTGAATCCCCATCTGTACATCCCCATATACTCTGGAAGAAAAGAAAACACCAACCAGTCTCTTGTTGCAAATAACACATGAAAATTAAAACCTCAATGTATGGAAATACAAAGTAACATTAAAATGGATCTTTCCATCATTACTTCATCTGGTTCCACTTCATCCTCTCCATCTGAATCAGCCATAGTTAACAAAGGCATCTGAGTGTTCTCCCCAGGCATTACCACTCCAACCCATCTCAATATCATAGCTTTCGCAAAAGTCAATAGCACCGTACAAAAGCAAAACATCAAACACAGCGCTACAAAAGCTGCTACCAAAATCTGAACCACCACTGCTCCCACTGGTCCTAACTGATTTTGTAACCAAGTATTTGCTGACCATCCAGCTCCCTCAGATTGACCAAACGCAACCTCTTTAATGCATCTATAACACTAGTGATATTATCAGAACTATCGGGATCAAAGTATATCAACCGTCTCCCGTCAAGTTCATAGCCACACACAAACCTCCTTGTCTGGCTAAAATATAGTCGAGAGCCATGTCATGTTTCAACAATGTCAGTCTGTGACTTCTTTGAGTATTTGACAGAAGATTAAACCCTCGTATAGTTTCATTTGCAAAACCCCATTAATTTTTTCACAAATCCCTTGACTTTGTGGGTGATAAACTGCTCCAAGACGTTGTTTGATTCCCAATTTGTGCAAAATCAATTTCACTGTTTTATCCACAAACTCTTTCCCATTATCTGACCATATTCGATCTGGAAGTCCCCACCTGCTTATGACTTCTCTACACAAAAACTTGGCAACCGACTGAGCGTCTTTCCGCTTTGTTGGACAGGCCTCTGGCCATCGTGAAAATCTATCCACAACCACTAGCATGTATCTTTTCCCTTCAACTGGTTTTATCATATCGACAAAGTCAACAACTAACTCACGCATAGGACCCCTTGGGGTGGGAATGTAACCAGGAGGAACAGTCACACCCCTGCGGACATTATTTTTCAGACAGATTGTACAGGAGAACAAAAACCAAAAAAGCAAACAACAATTTAGTGCTTTTATGTACTCACAAGGTTATTTCCACCGTAAAATAAGAGTGTTAACTCTCTGAGTAATCATAATCTATTTTCTCTAACTTTTTGACGTACCTACGTTAACATGCAAGCTAAGGAACATCGGTGTCATTTACACTGGGGATGCTGGGGACACTCTTCACTCCTATTTAAAGCTTACTCTGTTAAAAAAACGTTCTGAAATATAGCTTGTGGTTCAAAAAAAAAAACCTCAAATGAAATTCAAGTAAAATATAGAAAAAACAAATGTGCACTTCCCAAACAAAACCCAACTGCTGATTATGAAATGACCCAACAGCAGCATTAATCAATAACTTTAACAAATTTCATAACACAGTTTATTCATATATATTTTCTTTAATCCTCGCCTTATCCCCCTCTGCAGAGTCTCTCTCACACACAGCCGAGACACAGCAGGGGCAGCTCTCCACACACACACACATGGTAGCTATCCAGTCAACAAGGCATGCATTCCTTCACACTGTTTATACAGCATGCTTCCGCCGCACCCTTTTCCTTTATTTCCTTCCTAAATTTGTGCTACCTCGAGTTTGCAGATATTTAATGGCTTTGGCTTCCCCAGTTCCCGAAAATTCACCTAGTTCCTTTCCAGGATTTGCGGCCCATCTAAGATCGCCTTTTAAGGACTTTTTGTCCAGATCTGCGGCGTCCTAATCCTTATATTACCTTTTTCCTTATCCTTATATTTTCTTCCTTATCCTTATTAATTTGTATTCAAGCTGAATGACCCTGGCCAGGGTTACACTCTCTCTTTTACCCTTAATCCAATTTACCTATTCCTTAAAGCCTAGTTTCACGCGACAGTAATTTCCATCCCACATGATTTACGGTTATAAGAATCTGAGGGCCCATATTCTTAATCTTTGCAAAGTTATGAAAGCTCACTTCCCGTTACTCCTAGGCTATTCCTTTTTCTTCCTTTTATATCTAACTATCTGTCTTCATTACATTCACACACACCCCTTTTTGCGTTATCCACAACGCACACAAAATTTAGAAGGGAGTCTTCTCACACATCCACCCGCAACCCACATAGCAGTGAAATTTGGCCCAGATTTGGCTTAAAGCTGGCACTGCTGGCACTGAGTCGGCACTGGCATAAGGCATATGAACCGAACATGGCCCAGGTGTGGCAGACAATGGCACCGCCTTTAAGGCGGCAAACAAGATATGGGCCAGTTGTTGAGCGTTGTATTTGGCCCAGATGTCAAATTAGAAGTGTGGGCCACAGATGTATGACCGGTCTTGTCCCACAGTTTAATTTCAGATATTTTTGAGTAAGGTGCTAATAATTATTTAAAAGCATACTTCCATGACTTGTATTTGTAAACAAACAAATTAAAAAAAATTAGGCCCATGATGTTCATAAAACGTCTGTATTGAGGCTTTTTTTTTTTTTGTAATCTGGGCCAAACACGGCAACTGTATAAAATTAAAGTGGCATGGTGAAGGTTTAGTTGAGGCTGACATGTGGAAACAGTGCAAAACTCAGGTATGGTCCAAAATAGGGCCAGCTATAGTCATACAGTGGGCTGAGATATGGCTATATCATGGGCCATATGTGGCCCGTGTTCTAGCTACCAGATATGGAGCACTTGTGGACCGTAATTCATTGAGGTATCTGGGCCGAGTCTAAGTGTGTTGTGTGGCCCGTCACTGGGCCAGACCAGTTTTGCTATGTGGGAAGCATTCACACGGGATCGAACCGGTGTACCCTTTAACGCACACACAGACACTGAACTGACCAGCGCCCACAGTTTATGAGAAAACTCACCCTATACGCCAGCGTCTGGAGCGGGAGTCAGCTCGACGGTGCCTGTGATGGAACGATGAATTCTGGCACAACACGGTTCCTTCGTGGTCGCCAATTTCTGTGGTGTCCGAACAATAATGCTGCGATGATGTGTTGAGAAGAAACCCGCTTGACACTGTTCTTGATCATAAAAGTTTATTACATCAAGGAGTTCAGCATCAATTACAAGCTCTGCAGCCCTCTATCCAGCTGCTACAGTGTTATTTTAAACTGTTATGCGTCAAATGCACATATGTTATACACCACACACAAAACTTATTATTTCATTTATCAGTTCTATCAGTTTTTTAAATGAGGTTTATCATTTAAACTTCATTTAAGTTCCAACATTTTGACCAAAACCCATTTTAATTAAGAGAGATTGTCACAAACACATCATGTTAAACACACACATACAGACAGATTTCGAGTAAATGGAGAGGAGGAGCAACAGCATTTAAAACCTGGAAGTGAACGTATTTCTTTCAGTTCAGACTCCATTTAGAGTCGACAGGGCAGAAGGAGGAAAACTGAAGGCTGGGGCAGGGTGAGTGTTAATCAAACATTATTTATTATTTTACCGTCAAAGTCTCTGAGTCAGTTTTCTCCCTGTGGACTGGAGAGGAAAGAAAAGTTAGAGTGAACACCTGTTGTACTGTGGCCGCTTGAGCAGCCGGTAAAAAAAGCACAGGTCGTTGCCTCACTTCGATTATTTTCCAGCTAAGATCCTCGACAGTCCGGGCCACTTCAATCTGACAACGTGTTTTGCTACGTTTTTGTCGCTGAACTCGCCCCAGTTCAGTTAGTCCGGTCCAGGGGTGCTTCTCAAAACTGTTATGCCCAATCCCAGTGTCCACCCTCACAGACTGTGAGGCGCCTTCCCGGGAAGTCCGTGAGGACACTGTTATCACATCTTTTGTCTCTAGTTCAGAGGAGTTTTTTTTTCTTTCCATATTCCGTGTGCGTCCTTGAGAAGTGAGTACAGTATCTAGTTTGTTCGGTTTATCACGTGTGATGTTGCCGTGTGTTTTATCACCCTGTCTCACTTCCTAGCATATATTATATATTGCTGTGGTTGTTTTCATGTTTATTATCTATATCTAGAGAGAGGGAGAGAGAGAGAGCGAGAGCTGGAGAGAGGGAGAGAGAGAGACTTTTGATTTTTCAGCATCTTTATTTAACAAAAGATTACTTACATAAAAACAATATATATTTTGTTACAAATTTCTTTTTTTTAATAAAAATAATGCAAAGTGAAGTTCATTATCAATGACAGAACACAAAGCCCTTCTGTGACACAATATTCCTTGAAAAACATTTAAAGAGTACATTACTTTATAAAAACGAAAATCAATTACAATCCTCGGTTTGATCATAGCTGCAAACACCCTTTCAACATTATATTCACTTTTTTTCTCAATTTTATCTCTTCTACTAATGTAAATGGCCATTTTGGCTTTACCCAAAATAAAATTCAACAAATGACACTCATACTTTCGCCTTTGAACATATTTAAAACCTAAAATAAAAGTTTGCACAGAAAACTTCTCATTAAAACAATTAGAAAGATTCTGAAAACTATCAAATAAAGGCTTTAGTCTTGAACAATACAAAAAGGTATGAAAAACAGTTTACACAAGCTTTATAAAACATTTTTCCACTACTTTCATACAAATCCATATCTGTAAACTTTTCAGATTCTAGAAAAATTCCTGCATATTCACCTAAATTTGGTGTAAGAAACAGAATTGGAAACGGATCCGACTCGTTAGGGATAACTTCCCCTTCACAGTAATTTTGAAGCATCTTTTTTTCTTCCGTTGTGAAGGCAGAGTTCAGTTTCTGTAACACTTGTGCCACAATTCGAATGGATTTAACTCCCAACGAAACAGCTACATCTTGAACTTTATCAAAACTTGGGCCATCCACTTTAATTAAACACCCAAGTGTTGTGATCTTAGATTTAATAAAATCTGCCGACATTGTCCCACATGCTCCTAAAATGTCCAAACGTGATCCATAAAACAGAGGTTCTTTCAACAGCCAAGACAATGATGACATAGAATCAGTTCTTTTAACTTGAAAGAGGTCCCAAACTTTAAAAAGATTCTTGTAAAACTCCGGCAATCTGGATGTGTTGATTTTTCCGGGATTTAACAAGAACAACGACTTGTCCAAACATAGTCCTTCAGCAGTCTTTAGGATCGTCCTGGCCACTGGCCTCCAGCTTAGGTTCTCCGGACCAGTGAGAAAGCGCTGTATAAATTGTAGCCGAAAACCTGCGGTCCTACTCTGCAAATGTACAAGTCCTTGTCCTCCTTCTTCTTTTGGTAGATATAACACATTATGAGGTATCCAATGCATTTTTTCCCCCAAAAAATCTATTAAAGGGGACTGAATCTTAGCAAGTATCAATGCAGGTTGATCAATACAAGCCAGTCGATGCCATAGGGAAGAGGCCACCAAATTATTAATAATCAGAGTACGTCCTCTATATGATAAACTCTTAACAATCCATTTCCATTTCATTAGACGTCCTTTAATTTTTTCAACTGATCCCTCCCAGTTTTTTTGAACAATCGTTTCATCTCCCAAAAACACTCCTAAATATCTTAAACCATATTTTCTCCAACTTAACCCACTTGGGAGTATTGGTACCCCTCTTTCCCACTTTCCTACTAACACTGCTTCGCTTTTACCCCAATTAATTCTTGCTGAAGATATAGTTTCAAAATCTCTCAATGTTTTTAATAATAAATCCACATCATTTTGTTTATTAAGTATAATGACAACATCATCAGCGTATGCTGACAAACACAAAGTGCTGTTACAGGCTTGTAAAGATACCCCTTCTAAAACTCTTCTCAATTTATTTAAAAGTGGTTCTATTGCCAAAGTGTAAAGTATTCCTGACAGAGAACACCCCTGTCTTACCCCCCGACACACTCTAAAAGGAGCAAATAAGCCACCGTTAACTTTCAGTAGACTCTCAATGTCATTGTACAGAATTTTAATATAACCAATAAAATCAGAACTAAAACCAAATGCTTGCAAAGTTTTCCACAGATAATCGTGTTCTACACGATCGAACGCCTTCTCTTGATCTAAGGAAATCAAACCCATGTCGACTCCCAATATTTTTGAAACATCAAATAAATCTCTTATAAAATGGATATTATCAAAAATTGATCTTCCATGTACACAATAAGACTGACCAGAATGGATTACCTCCTCCAAAACTCTTCCTAGTCTAGTAGCTAAAACTTTTGAGAGCAATTTATCGTCATAGCACAATAAGGATACAGGTCGCCAGTTTTTTATGTCTCTTACATCACCTTTTTTTTGGCAAAAGAGTAAGGACCGCTCTTCTACAGCTCAGCGGCAGAAGTCCTCTGACTAGACTGTCACTGAGAACTGCCAGCAGGTCCCCCCCTCTCACAGGCCAAAAGGCTTTATAGAACTCAACTGGGATTCCATCTATCCCAGGAGCCTTATCATTCTCCATACTCTGGAGAGCTTTGTGCAGTTCTCCCAGGCTTATAGCTCTCTTGAGTTCTGCATTGGAGTCTTCAGAGACCTTTGGTAGCCCTTCATAAAAACACTGCTCAACAACCCGATCTTCTCTGTGCTCACAACTATAAAGCTTTTCATAAAAACCGTTTGCCCTTTTCCGAATTTCAATAGGGTCTGATTCAAGAGAACCAGTCTCAGAAAATAAAGAATGTATAAAGCGTTTCTGACCGTTCTTTTTTTCTAGACTAAAGAAAAATTTGGACGGTACATCCATCTGGTCTATATCTTTAAAACGTGATCGAACTAGCGCCCCTTGTGCCTTCACTTTTTGAATATCAGACAAAACAGATTTCTTTAAAAAAAGGGATTCAATATGTGTTTGATTTCCACTTGACTGTTCCGCTTCTTGAAATTTAAGAATTTCATCTTCTAATACTTTTATGGATTTGATTATATCTTTTGTGACATTGTGAGTGTACTGTTGAAATAGTTGTTTGGTTTGTATTTTATCTTCCTAAAATTTTCCCAAAAAAAATGTGAATGTTTCTCTAAAATGTGCATCACTTAATAAATTTGTGTTAAAGTGCCAGTAAGCACTTTTCGGCTTGACAAAGTGTAAAGTTACTGTACATATAACAAGACTATGATCTGAAAAACCAACTGGGATTATGAAACAATTTTTAAAAATACTAAGATGGTGTTTAAAGCAATAGAATCTATCCAGTCGTGCTAATGACAACCTGTTATCACGAGCATGCGCCCATGTGTACTGCTTTACATTCCCATTTACACTCCTCCATATGTCACATAAATCATTTGCTTTAATCATTTGAATGAGTCGCTTGCGAGAAAGCAAATGTGGCTCTACATGATTTCTGTCCATGTTACTGTCTACACAGTTAAAGTCTCCACCTAAAAATAAATACTCTTCACCATTACATTTGTCCAACATTTCACAAAGACTATGTAAAAAAAAACAACAACAAAAAAAAACATTCTTTCTGCTGGTAGAATTGGAGCATATGCACATATAAAAATAAAAGTATGGTTCTCAACCTGGGCTCGAATCTTTAACAATTTACCATTCACAACCTCCTCCACCTCTGTGGAACAGGGAGTAAAACTATTAGCAAATAAAATAGCAACAAAACCATTTAATGAGGATTAGTGACTTAAAAAGGAGCATTTGTTGTGTCGCTATGCGTGTCTTGTAAAAGTAAAACATCAAGTTGTTTCTGACTCATGTTATATATTAATGTGCGTTTTATACATTCTCTTGCTCCATTCATATTTAAGGATGCAATGCGAATGTCACCCATGTGAAAAATATAAAAAAATAAACTTAGGCCATAAAGAAAAAAACAGCCAAGAAGGGCCAAAAAATTAAGCCGATTTACTGCCATCAATTATTCGATTGTTGTTGGAGTTTTGTCACAAATTTTTTCAACCTATAGACTTCCTTATTTGTGAAACATCCCTCAGTCATTAAAGCCCTTTTCCACAAAACGTTTTGTGTCTGGAAAATAGTCAGCAACCTGTACTCCCCTCAACTTTAAAAACTTCTTGATTTCATCAGTGTCATACTCTAGACATGTCCATTCAGTCTGGGAACAACTAGAAGCACCAGAATCAGAGACATCACTCTCATTACCAACATCAACATCAGACCCTTTTTCATTTTCTGTTTTTCTAGCTTGTTTTGATTTAGAGACCTTGTCATTCTTTTTCCTCTTCAAAGGGGTTTTGAAAACTGCCTGATCTAGGTCCGTCATTACGTCATCACTTAAGTTGACACTCTCTGAAGGAAACTTTGAGTCAGACACTATATTAACATGTGAAAAGTCCATGCTCTCATCAGCCTTGGGCTCACTCTTATCAACAACAGGGATAACTAAATCATTCTCCTCATTATTCCCAACCATGGCCTGATTCGCTTCAGTCTGTAAATGAGGAATTGTTTCAGTTTGGCCGCTAGTGGATGGCCTGGGTTCAGTTTTTTGTTGGATCAGGAACATTATCAGTGCCTGCATTCCTGACTTGCCCACCAGTTTCACCTGAGACATCTGGTGTATTTGTACCATTTTTATCTGGATAAGTGCGTACTAAATGCCCAGTTTTCCCACAGCCAAAACACTTCATCGCATCAGTACTCACGAAAACAGTATAATCAAAGTCATCCACTCTGAGTTTCAAAATCAGATTGAGTTCAGTTCGATTATCTCTCAGGATCATGTAAGTAAATCTCCGAAAAGATACCACGTGTTTGATCAGGTCTGACATGCTACCAAGAACGATCTTTTTCACGGGGCTGACTATCTTTCCAAAACGTGACAATTCTTTTGTCAGCATTTCGTCTTTTATGAACGGCGGGACGTTAGACAAAGTTACTTTCTTAGCGGGGGTGGAAAGGGGAAGCACTGGGGTGAACAAACCACTAATTACTACACCTTTTTCCACTACTTCGTTTGCTTCGTTTGCTTTCTCAACAGAATTTAAAAACAAAACCATTGCATTATTCATCCTAGACGCCGCTAAAATACACTCATGACCAACAACATTTCCAAAGGCCAAAATGCACTCCTCCACATTCACTGCGGACACCACTTTCACTCCGTGGCGCCGCGTGAGAGAATCTAAACAGGTGTTTGTGTTTTGGGCTGCCATGTTTCCAGTGATACACTGGTTGCTAACGGCCGAACAACCCCCACCAAAGGAGCCTTACTTCACCACCCAATACACCACAGATATCAAAAACGAAAAAAATAGAAAATAATTGAAAGAGAAAGGTACTCACCACACGCACCTCACACTCGCTCAACAGACGCTCACGCATGCAGAGAGAGAGAGATAATAATAATCTTTATTTGTAGAGCACTTTTCAAAAACAAGTTACAAAGTGCTTTAACAAGTGTAAAGAATAATACAAAAAAAAACAAGATAAGAGCATGAAAACACTGAAAAGACTAAAATACAGATAAATATAAAATTAGTAAAATACAATAAAATAAAAGGGATAAAATAAAGTCAAGTAAGATCGGGAAAGGCTCTACTATAAAAGTATGTTTTAAGAAGGGACTTAAAGAGTTCACTGACTCAGCCGACCTGATTTCCTCGGGCAGGCTGTTCCAGAGCCTCGGGGCCCTGACAGCAAACGCTCTGTCCCCTTTAGTTTTCAGTCGAGACTCTGGAACAGACAACAGACCTCTGCCCGAGGATCTCAAGGTACGTGCTGGTGCGTATGGGACTAAAAGGTCAGAAATATAACAAGGCGAGAGGCCATGAAGAGCTTTAAAAGTGATCAATAGAATTTTAAAGTCAATTCTAAAACATACTGGGAGCCAGTGTAATGAAGCTAAAATAGGAGTAATGTGGTCATATTTCTTTGTTCTGGTTAAAAGCCTGGCAGCTGAGTTCTGGACAGTCTGGAGTCGATCAATAGATTTTTGGGTTAAACAGGTGAAAAGGCTGTTGCAATAATCCAGGCGTGATGAGATGAAGGCGTGTAAAATGGTCTCGGTGTCCTTAAAAGTTAACATAGATCGAATTTTTGCTATATTTCTAAGTTGATAAAAACATGATTGAACAAGCTTTGTGGTGTGCTGCTCGAAATTTAAATTACTATCAAACCAAACACCAAGGTTCTTTGCCACAGGCTTAATGTGATTTACTAGCGAACCAGCAGATGGCAGTATTTGATTTGCCATCTGCTGAGACCCGATGACCAGGATTTCTGTTTTGTCTGGAGGAAATTATTTGACATCCATTTTTTAACTTCACAAAGGCAGTTGTTAAGTGAACTCAGCATTCCAGGGTCTGTGGATCTGACGGGCAAGTATATTTGTGTGTCATCAGCATAAATATGAAAAGAAATGCCATGTTTATGGATAATATGTCCAAGGGGAAGCAGATATAAGGAAAACAAAATGGGTCCTAAGACCGACCCCTGAGGCACACCATATTTAACTGGACAGAACGAAGAGACATAGTTGTTTACAGACAGGCAAAACTTCCTATTTGACAGGTAGGATGAAAACCATTCTAGGGCAGTACCAGAGATCCCCACCCAGTGCCTCAGTCTGTCTAACATGATGTTGTGATCAATGGTGTCAAAAGCAGCGCTAAGGTCCAGGAGTACCAGGACTGAGCACATACCTTCATCAGCAGACATTAAAAGGTCATTGGTGACTTTAAGCAGGGCAGTCTCAGTGCTGTGGTACTTCCTGAAACCAGACTGAAACTTTTCAAATATTTTGTTATTTTCCAGTACAGTGAGCAGCTGTTTGGACACAATTCTTTCTAGAATCTTTGCAATAAAAGGCAGTTTTGAAATTGGTCTAAAATTATGTTGGAGGGAGTGATCTAAACCAGGTTTCTTTAAAAGTGGGTTCACGCAAGCCGTTTTAAAATAATCAGGGACACAACCAGTAGATAGGGAGCTGTTGAAAACAGAGATCAAATGGGGCCCAACAGAATCTATTACTTTCAGTAAAAACTTTGTAGGTATTACATCAAGTGGGCTGGAGGACACTCTCATTTGTGATACTGTTTTTAAAAGCTCAGACAGGTCGATGGGATAAAACTGGTAAAAACTCTCTTGTTGCTGGTGAGGAACCTCTGAGTAAGAGGCCGCGGGGGTAATAGAGGCTCTGATTGACACCACCTTATTGGTAAAATAAGATAAAAACAATTCACAGTCATCATTACTTCCAGCTGAGGCACAAGGAGGGGTTGGATTTACCAGCTGATCCACAGTCTTAAACAGAAACCTGGGATTGTGTTTATGTGTAGTAATGAGTTCAGAAAAATAGTGTGTTCTCGCATCCTTAACCATGTTATTGTAGTTAATTAATAAATCCTTCAGACTGAGGTAATGGACTTGGAGACTGGATTCTTTCCATCTGCTTACTAGCTTTAGACGTAGGCCTAACCTTTAGAGGAGCAGTAATATTTAGTGACGACAAGCAGATATGATTGAAGTGATCGACCAGATTGTTGGTGTAGAGAGAGAGATGGAGAGAGAGAGAGAGAGAGAGAGAGAGAGATGGGGAGAGAGATATAGAGATAGATAGAGATAGAGAGAGAGATAGTTTAGGTCGGACTTCCCTCCCGTTTATTAGTACGGCGCATGCTGACGGGTCAGTAAGGGACCATCACGAAATTAGCCTATGCAACAGAGCCTTTTCAGTCCATGTGTGTAAAATATGGAAGCTCCCTTATTTAGTTCATGCTTTCTCTTCAGCAGTTATCCATCTTTGTTCATTTCGTTGTCATATGTCATTATTCGCACTTGTTTATCTCATATTATATTGCCTTTATTATTATTGCCTAATTTAAGTGAATATTTAGGACTAAATATTAAGTGTCAGTATTAGTGCTGATTCACGACACTTTGCTGTACCGCAAACAGGATTTTGGATGACGACATAGGCAAGGACAAATCACTGAACAGATTTCCTGTTGTGAGTGGAGAGTCACAGAAAGTACCTTGAAGTCCAGTGTGAAGCTTCCACTGTCTGTGATGATTTGGGGTGCCATGTCATCTGCTGGTGTTGGTCCACTGTGTTTTATCTGCCTGTATTAGACTAAAACACTCATTTATACTAATTCCTCCTCCAGGTTGTGCATAGTGTCTCTGCACTGGACAGATGTATATATATTTGCATTGCACGTTTTCTTTTTGTGCAAGTAAACCTTTCTCAATGTTTTCAGAACATTTTTAACAAATGCTTTCAAAAAGTGATGGGGACAACATCAGCTATTTAAAAAAAAGTTTCGGGGACATGTCCCTAGCGTCCCCAGTGTAAATGACACCTATACATACAAACTGTTGTTTTTACTGAAGTTACTGTTATACATTGTTCAGTCATCTTGTTAACATAAAGTGTGGCGTGGTTCCATATTCCACAAGCTGCAAGGCACCAATCACAGTAGAGACTTATTGAAGGAAAATAATACAATAATACACATTAACCCTACAGTAACCCAAGAAAACAACAATACACACTGTTTCACCTCTCAGACTGACTGAAGTCCACAAGATGAATGTTGGTGTGGAGGAGGAGGAGGACAGAGCAGAGTCTGCAGCATCCAGCTGTCTGTCTGCGAAGAGAGACCGGTCCAAAGAGGAACCTCCATTGTTTAGTAATGAACCTGGACCCTCAGACACAAAGTAAGAGAACTGATACTAACTCATTTATATGACTGTTGTTCAGTAAACCCAGTCAATGCCATATTTTTCTGTTTGTGATTATGTTTCTAATGTTCTCCTAACATGTATTTGCTGCCTAAATTTAAAAACTCAACTGTTTGTGACAAAAATAGAAATCATTGGTGCCATATTCCTCTTAGTATCTGTGACAGCTGTCAGTCACCTAGAGAAGCTGGAATCTGATCTAAGAGACTAATACAATTTTTTAAACCTCCTAATTATCGACAGCAGCAGCAGTTTGTGTGTTTAGAGCTACCTAAATGGCTTCATCAGAGAATCTATCAAAGATTCATGTGATATGAACAAAAACATCTTGGTGTTTGCAGAGTTCAGTCCAGACAGAGAGCAGAGTCTGCAGCATCCAGCTGTCTGTCTGCGAAGAGTGACTTGTCCAAGGAAACTCCTCCAGACTTCAGTCCTGAACCTGGACCCTCAGACACAAAGTAAGAGACTGTTTTTACTGTAAACTGACCTGATGGAAGATGATGCATTGAGGATGAAGACAAAATGTTCTGCTAAAAGATTTATATTCGCCCGCTTTAGCTGCTTCTAAGCTGCTTAGGTCGTTAATACAAATATTAATGTTTAAAAATATGATCAATATGTCAGTATGGATATGCTACACATCATTAGATTGGTTAGATTCTCAAGGATTCAGTCCTTCATTTCATTTAATGGAAACAAGGAGCCCCAAAGTCTGATTCTTATAGATTTACCGGTGTAACCTACATGGTAAAAGAGGCGAAAAGGAAAAAAAGGTCCGACTCCCGTTATCTTTGAAGCGTTTCGTTAAGTCCAAATGTTTCTGTTCTTTGATTATTTATATTCTTCATCCAAAATTCTTCCATCAAAAGAATCAAAACAGCTTTTCATAAAAATTTATCCAAGTTGTAAATCCTGTCATGTGAAGTCCATCGCTCTCTGCTAACTTCTGCCACACTTCTCTCATCCCATGTTGTTGTTTTTCATTAGTTGCTGCCTTCAAAATAAAAAGCGCACAAGCAGTCTGTCAGCGCTAGATCAAATGAATGACGTGTATTTGATATCATTTGATATTATTGTTATTTAATTATTAAATTTTTATACAAGTATTTTTCTGTTTGAAATCAATTAACTGTTTCATAGTAGTTTCAGTTTTCTGCAAAAGGAATTAAAGGCCTGTCCCATATGGATGCCTGTCCCAAATTTAGGCAGAGTCAATTCAGTGATTTTAGCAAATAAAAGCCCGGGCTATTATTCAAAGTTTTACGGTAGTATAAAGAGCGAGAAGTCCATGTCAGGAGTGGTTGTCAAACAACCACTTTCACCCAGAAGACTGGGTCTCAAGTTGTAATGGCAGAAAATTGTTTCTCCCTACATCTAAACTTTTATGCATGTTCTATTATTACTTATATTTCGATAATTGTTTGTCTTATATACAGTGACTCAAAAAAGTGAGTACACACCTCACATTTGTATAAATATCTGATTTTATCTTTTCATGTGACAACACTGAAGAAATGACACTTTGCTACAATGTAAAGTAGTGAGTGTGCAGCTTGTATAACCGTGTAAATTTGCTGTCCCCTCAAAATAACACAGCACACAGCCATTAATGTCTAAACTGGCAACAAAAATTAGTACGCGCCTAAGTGAAAATATCCAAATGGCCATTTTCACCTCCCCAGTCTCATGTGAGTCATCTCAGGTGTGAATAGGGAGAAGGTGTGGTAAATTTGGTGTTATCTCTCTGACACTCCCTCATACTGGTCACTGGAAGTTCAACATGGCACCTCCTGGCAAAGAACTCTCTGAGGAACTGAAGAAAGAATGGTTGCTCTACATAAAGATGGGCTATAAGAGGCTATAAGAAGATTGCCAAGCCCTGAAACTGAGCTGCAGCACGGTGGCAAAGACCAGTCGAACAGGTCTCGCCGTGGTTGACCAAAGAAGTTGAGTGCATGTGCTCAGCATCATATCCAGAGGTTGTTTTTTGGGAAATGGACATACGAGTGCTGCCAGCATTGCTGCAGAGGTTGAAGGGCTGGGGGGTCAGCCTGTCAGTGGCCAGACCATACGCCGCATTATCTATAATGCATAGCCAAAAATACTAGACAGGCAGTGCGTAGCGACTGTGTGAATTGTTTCTGTAACGTTAGGCGCAGGGATCTCCTGTGCGCTTGTTTCACTCTTAAACGCTCCAAAAAATAGATCCGTGCGAACCAGAAAATGATTTACGAGTACAACCGACCGTAATGTCCCACCCTGCCGGACCCTGAATGCTAATTGTCCAGGACATAGTCGTAGTGGCGATCAGGAGTAATGGGGTTAACCCGGTTGGCCGGTCGCTCTATGGCCACAGCCCCGTTCCTGAAAAACAGGAGTGAGATGCGCCGCCAGCAGCGGAATCAGTAAGACAGAATACAACAGGAAACATTCAAGGAGCGTGTGGGTTTGGCTAACCTTAGCTGGCAATTTAGCTAAATCTCAGCTTTTTATTGAAACACATTCAACTTTTCGTAAAGCCGATACACTCGTCAATGTCACTTTTTGTGAACAGATCAATCACAGCCTTAATGGATGGATGAATATCTTAATATCAAACTTACAGTTTAGCCTACTTTTAAATTTATAATATACTTTTAATTTTCCTCAAGTGGTCGATGAAAGTAATCACACATCATTGCAGGAAAGCTCACATTATCTAGTTTAAACCAACTAAAACACAAAATGACACAACTTAACACAAAGAACAACTTAACTAAATACTTCTAGGATAATACTGATTGTTAAACGTTCTTACTTAGAAAATATGCAAGAAAGTTATAAGAACATGGCATCAGATTATAAACCATAAAACATCACAAGGAGAGTTTAAGAACAATAGCATGTTACACCTCTTTTGTCCTCTGGGGGGGAAATGAAAGAGGATTTGAAAATAACTCTGACTATTTAACTTTACAGTTAATTCAATCCTTGGCTCAGGAGCTGGGAAAATGAATTGTAAATGTATTGTTGAACCATATTATTTATAAGAAAGTATATAGGAAGGTGTTTGGAGCAAAGATTGACGGGCTTTTCTTATCAGTTTGGCACATCAGCGTGAAAAGGAGGGGGCAGCCTTTATGTGTGTGTGGGATGCAGTTTGTCCCTTTACTTATGGCTGTTTTGTGGGGTAGTCAGGACTGAAAGAAAGGGGGTTCCTTGATGTTTCGAGGTAACTTGCAGGGTGAGGTCGGTTACCATGGTTACTTGACCATTTGGTCTTCCTGTTGATTGAACGTAGTGACACCTTTACAGCCAGAGTGGTTGGATGGTCCCAGAATTGTTAGTCTAGCATGTGTGTTTGAGTCTGTGCAGGGGTATTTCTACACACCGAAGTCTGTGTCTTTCCTGTGCAGGTCACAAATGCCAAGTCTTGGGATTAGGCCCCCCTGGGTAAAATAATTAATCTCCCCTTCTCTTAAAATTATGAAATTTATATTGTAATAGGCATTATATTAACTTATTGGGAGAAAACTGGTAGTTCTATATGAAATCAGACGTTGAGCACCCCACCCCCATATCGCCTATCGTGGCCATTTTTACAATCTGCAAGAAGTCTATCTTAGCCTGACGCGTGTCCACTTATGTGTGTCCTAATATCCATACAATCCACAATATCCAGTGTATATAAAAATCTAGAAGAGACAAGAAGAAGAAGTTTTGAGTAAACCTTTTAATCCAGAGTTTACAAAGGCTTGGTCCATTACCAGCAACTTGTGAACTGTGGGTTGGTCACCGCCAGTGTTAATGTTATAAATAATGTCTTCTCCACAGAGAGAAGAGGAGTCCTGTTTGTGTGGAGGGGCAGCCGTCCTGCTGTGCTTTGTACCAGGACGTCTTAAAAGACCCAGTCTCTACCAGCTGTGGACAGAATATTTCTTCTTCACTTTTAATAGATAGTGGTCTGCAGGAGGTTTTAGATGAACATGAGATCAGTCTGAGGAGGAGATGTGAACGTGTGACTGAAGGAAGTGATGAAACAGGAAGTGGAACCCTCCTCAACACGATCTACACTGAGCTCTACATCACAGAGGGACAGAGTGAAGAGGTTAATACCCAGCATGAGGTGAGGCAGCTTGAGACAGCTTCCAAGATGGAGACCCTCCATGACACTCCAATCAGGTGCCAGGACATCTTTGCCTTACCTGGCCAACAGAGACCCATCAGAGTGGTTCTGACCAACGGCGTCGCTGGCGTTGGAAAAACCTTCTCAGTGCAGAAGTTCACTCTGGACTGGGCAGAGGGCTCGGAAAACCAAGATGTCGGTCTGCTGGTTCTGCTCTCGTTCAGGGAGCTGAACTTGATCAAAGATGAGCGGCACAGTCTCCTCACGCTGCTCCATGTTTTCCATCCAACATTACAGAAGGTCCCAGCAGAGAAGCTCGCCGTCTGGAAACTGTTGTTCATCTTTGACGGCCTGGATGAAAGCAGACTTTCATTGGATTTCCACAACAGTGAGGTTGTGTCTGATGTCACACAGAAGTCATCAGTCAACCTGCTGCTGACAAACCTCATCAAGGGGAATCTGCTTCCCTCGGCTCTCGTCTGGATAACTTCCCGACCTGCGGCGGCCAATCAGATCCCTCCTTCGTGTGTTGACAGGGTAACAGAAGTACGAGGCTTCACTGACGCCCAGAAGGAGGAGTACTTCAGGAGGAGAGTCAGTGATGAAGAGCTGTCCAGCAGAATCATCTCACACATCAAGACCTCCAGGAGCCTCCACATCATGTGTCAGATCCCAGTCTTCTGCTGGATCACTGCTACAGTTCTGGAGCACATGTTGACTACAGAGCAGAGAGGAGAGCTGCCCAAGACCCTGACTGACCTGTACTCACACTTCCTGCTGGTTCAGATAAAGAGGAAGAAGCAGAAGTACGATGAGGGACATGAGACGAGTCCACAGGAGCTGACGGAGGCTGACAGGGAGGTTCTTCTGAAGCTGGGGAGGCTGGCGTTTGAACATCTGGAGAAAGGAAACATCATGTTCTACCAAGAAGACCTGGAGCAGTGTGGTCTTGATGTCACAGAGGCCTCGGTGTACTCAGGAGTTTGTACAGAGATCTTCAAAAGAGAGAGTGTGATCTTCCAGAAAACAGTCTACTGCTTTGTTCATCTGAGCGTTCAGGAGTTTCTGGCTGCAGTCTACATGTTCCACTGTTACACCAGCAGGAACACAGAGGTACTGGAGGACTTCCTCGGAAAATACAAAACTAGTGACCGATCACTGGATGTCTTCCTGAGCAGAGCCATGGAGAAATCCCTTGAAAGTAAAAATGGCCACCTGGACCTGTTTGTTCGCTTCCTTCATGGCCTCTCTCTGGAGTCCAACCAGAGACTCTTAGGAGGCCTGCTGGGTCGGACAGACAACAGTCCAGAAATTATCCAGAAAGCTATCAATAACCTGAAGAAGATGAACACGTATGAGATCTCTCCTGACCGAAGCATCAACATCTTCCACTGTCTGACGGAGATGAACGACCACTCAGTACATCAGGAGATCCAAGAGTTCCTGAAGTCAGAGAACAGATCAAAGAAGAAACTCTCTGAGATCCACTGCTCAGCTCTGGCCTACATGCTGCAGATGTCAGAGGAGGTTCTGGATGAGTTGGACCTGAAGAAGTACAACACATCAGTGGAGGGACAACAGAGGCTGATTCCAGCTGTGAGGAACTGCAGAAAGGCTCAGTAAGTCCAGATGTGATTAACATTATAAATCAGTGTGGATAAGTAGTTTACTTCTACAAATATTTACACCATAATAAATAATCTTATTATTCTTAAAATAGTGTTCCACTTAAGAATGTGTTTTGACAGATGAGATATTTCTAAGTGCAAATATTTTATACTTTTCATTTGGTTATGTTCATAACTGTCAACTTAATGAACACATTTTTTTTTCTATCTCCTTCCTTGGGGTAATGGATGTGAATTACAAACCTTTTGATACAAATGAAAGACATTCTTCACATTAATAAGAACAATAACATCACTACAAGTTAGTGACCCTACTTCGAATTCGAAGGAATGAGTCTGTATGTGTCTGAGAGGGATGACAAGGGAAGGGGTCAACAACCTCCAAACAGTGGACATGCACACAGCAGAGTTGTATTGAATTACATTTTCTTTCATTATCTGGTTAGATATGTATAACAACTGTTGTGTCAGTATACTCCAAAAAGCCTAAACACTCCATCTAGGCTACAACAACTGCGAGAAGAGAATGACACATCCTAGGCTAATACATAATTATAATAAGTAACCTTTGATATACACTCACCTAAAGGATTATTAGGAACACCATACTAATACTGTGTTTGACCCCCTTTTGCCTTCAGAACTGCCTTAATTCTACATGGCATTGATTCAACAAGGTGCTGAAAGCATTCTTTAGAAATGTTGGCCCATATTGATGGATAGCATCTTGCAGTTGATGGAGATTTGTGGGATGCACATCCAGGGCACGAAGCTCCCGTTCCACCACATCCCAAAGATGCTCTATTGGGTTGGGATCTGGTGACTGTGGGGGCCATTTTAGTACAGTGAACTCATTGTCATGTTCAAGAAACCAATTTGAAATGATTGGAGCTTTGTGACATGGTGCATTATCCTGCTGGAAGTAGCCATCAGAGGATGGGTACATGGTGGCCATAAAGGGATGGACATGGTCAGAAACAATGCTCAGGTAGGCCGTGGCATTTAAACGATGCCCAATTGGCACCTAGGGGCCTAAAGTGTGCCAAGAAAACATCCCCCACACCATTACACCACCACCAGCAGCCTGCACAGTGGTAACAAGGCATGATGGATCCATGTTCTCATTCTGTTTACGCCAAATTCTGACTCTACCATCTGAATGTCTCAACAGAAATCGAGACTCATCAGACCAGGCAACATTTTTCCAGTCTTCAACAGTCCAATTTTGGTGAGCTCTTGCAAATTGTAGCCTCTTTTTCCTATTTGTAGTGGAGATGAGTGGTACCCGGTGGGGTCTTCTGCTGTTGTAGCCCATCCGCCTCAAGGTTGTGCGTGTTGTGGCTTCACAAATGCTTTGCTGCATACCTCGGTTGTAACGAGTGGTTATTTCAGTCAAAGCTGCTCTTCTATCAGCTTGAATCAGTCGGCCCATTCTCCTCTGACCTCTAGCATCAACAAGGCATTTTCGCCCACAGGACTGCCGCATACTGGATGTTTTTCCCTTTTCACACCATTCTTTGTAAACCCTAGAAATATTTGTGCGTGAAAATCCCAGTAACTGAGCAGATTGTGAAATACTCAGACCGGCCCGTCTGGCACCGACAACCAAGCCACGCTCAAAATTGCTTAAATCACCTTTCTTTCCCATTCTGACATTCAGTTTGGAGTTCAGGAGATTGTCTTGACCAGGACCACACCCCTAAATGCATTGAAGCAACTGCCATGTGATTGGTTGATTAGATAATTGCATTAATTAGAAATTGAACAGGTGTTCCTAATAATCCTTTAGGTGAGTGTATATAAATTTAAGAAACAAGATAATGTTAAGCAGTAAATATAATCTCAGAAGCGAAAATTGAAAGAAGCAGCCAAGCAGGAAAAGCAAAGCTTCCAAAAATATTCAGTTTCTTTAAAAAGAAAGATGTGATAGCAGCAAGCATGAGTTGTAAGCAAGAAGAGCCAAAGGGTCCACCTGCTGCTAGCACCATCAGCCCGCCATTCACGGCTGTTGATGATGAGGTGGAGGAAATGCCCCAGACACATTTAAACTTCTAGAGCCTGAAACACGAGTAATGCCATATTTTTAAAAAATTACATAACCTCTGCATTTCACACGCAATGCAGTATGCTGTCACTAATAGGATCATGTTTTAATACGGGTGAAGGTGCGCTTTGACCGGTTATATTTTTTCACCTATCAATGTGCCCTCTCACCGGTTAGGCTATATTTTAATTTTATGGTGCTCCAACACCGATTTGGTCAGGTAGGTAAATCACTGTCTTAGCCTTGCTATTAGGACTTATCTTTTTGGTAGAATGCTGTCTGGTCACTGTTACTGGTTGTTTTAAAGCTGTGTAACATAATGTAAAGTAGCCTTAAAGAAGTGAAAGCTTCTTTAATTTGCATTATGTTACTCTGATTGCGATTGGAAGGCCCGCTTTGACACTCATTTACATTGTGGCCCTGTGTTCTGATGGTATAGGCTACCTTGTCGAAAATGCCTACTGTAAGGAGATGGGGAACATGTTGAAATACTATATTATGCAATAATATAGACTAATAATGATTTTTTTTTAAGATATGGCTGACTATCAGCCACTGTCTCGACGGCATGCCCGACAGCAAGGTTGCACAGATTTATGGCCGTGGAAACAAAACATGGTTGTGGGTCATACGCATGTGCAAAACCGCTAAGTAGCACATCTCGATAGGTAGCATAAACACCATAGAACACAATGTTTATCAGTTGAGGAGGCGAATATCAATGAGCGATTAAACTGTTGTGTCTCTAGTTACAGTCGGCGTGTCAGAAATGATTAAACATGAGCTGAACAAGTATCTAACACACCGTTGCAGGTCCTTGTTGTAGACAGTCATGTAGTATTAGATTAATTCAAGGACAGTGTTTCCTCAGTGTCACTGTATCATTGAGCCAGAAGTGCAGGTGATAAACTAGATGTAGAAAGTAGTCATTGTGGCGGAATATATGAAAGGTAATAACTACTGCATGATTTGCCTATGTAGGAGATCCCTGTTTATCATTATTATGATAGCAATGACATGAGAGATGATATACGAATGGTGTTATTATTTTTAGTAGTAGTACTATATTGTTTTTTTTCTTTGCTGGCCCCGACAATACATACACTATTTAATTTCATTAGTAGTAGTAATTTATAATAAATCAGATATTTTAAAAATGTTTTCTGTAGTTTTATACATTTGACTCTTATTTCTAAAAACTTTAATATATTGTACTTTTGTTCAAAGTACTATTTCTAACAATACAAGTTTATTTTTAAACTGCATTATGTCATGGTATCTTGGTGAGGGCTCAACATAACAAAGTTTGGGGATAATCTTTGTTTATGTTATGCTTTTCTTAAAATAAGGGGAGAAAGAAATTGGCGGATTTCAAAATCCTCAAATATTGAAATCGCTATTGAACTTAAAAATCTCATATCGGTCGGGCTCTATAAATTATTACTATTCCGACGTGTGTGAGTTTGCAAATATACGACATGATACCACTGCACAAATCAGTGCCCTGCATAAGTCAGCGTAGTCAAAATGGTCTGGATATAACAATGGCTAGAACAGGGGATGTTCCTCGAAAGGCAGGTTGTGCTATGCATGGTCAGGGAAAGCAAGTTGTAATTTACTAAACTGGCATAGGTTGTCTGAATTGGCCCTCACCTTTTGTTGATTTTTGCAGGTCTGTTGTAAATCGTCAGTGAACTTTCCATTAGCAGCCTCCCGAGTTAGCAGACTTCCCTGGGAGAAGTTTATCAGTTCTCTGGAAACATTTAAAATTGGTCATCATCACATCAACATCTTTATCACATTAAACATCTTTCAGATGACATTGACAGCAGCAGGTAGCTGGCAAAGAAAGATCATATTTCCCAACTGTAACTGTTCACTGAGTTGTAAAAATGTTTAGCTGTTAAGTTAGCTTAATGCAAACTTTCATGCACATGCTAAGACAGATGTGATCAGATCACATGGACAGACTGAGGACATTATAAAAGCCTAAATGTCCTAAATGCAACTACATTTCCCTTCAATATCAACTAATCACTTCCGGTTCCGGCATGGCGCCTGTGTTTGGCTTTGCCGCTGCGGCTGATTTTTCGTCCGACTTGTTTTGTTTGTTTCCTGCCCTATATTGCTACTAAGTTTGTCAACAAACGTGTCTACTGCATGGGTGTACGATCGCCACACAATGCTGTTGATCCGATCCTCCATGGCGGAGTGCGGTGACGGATGTACCTGGAGTGGTACAGATGTAGAGTTTGCAGCCCCGTTCGTACGTCCGACTGCAACTGCTGTGTGTTTGCGGCACGGAGAGGTCCTAATACGACCTACAAATAGACGGCAGATAAAGCAAGGAAAAAGGGCAGGGAGGCAGGTTCATCTGAAAAAACTCTTGAAGCTGGGGGTCTTTGACAGCGACGCCAGACCTTCATGTCTTCATTCTGTCTCCTGATGTTGCTGCAGTGGGCGCAGTGATCATTAAACGCTTGTGCACAGGCGTTTAATGATCACTGCACCCTGTTGTTGGAAAAAGTGGCGCCTCTTAACACTAGAGAAATTCCCTCTGTTAATACATCCCCGTGGATGAATGACGCCATTCGCAGCTTGAGGCGTGTCTGTCGGAGAACTGAGCATTTATGGAAAGCGACTCAGCTACAAGTCCACCGCCTGCATCTTAAAGAGCTCTTAATAGACTTAAACGGAATGATCAAGGATGCTAGATCCACTTACTTTACTAACCTGATGTCTGCCTGTAAAACCCCCCCTAAAGCTCTGTTTGAGACCATTAACAACATTGTTTCTCCTGCTGCATTTATTGTCCCTGTGTTTTCAAATGTTGACTGCAATCACTTTTTGTCTCACTTTGTGGACAAGGTTAGAGCTGCCAGGGCAGGCATTGTTCCATCAGCAAACCCCCATTTAGTTAAACATCACAGACTTTCAATACTGGACT